TCAATCAGTCAATCAATCAATCAACCCTAGTGCCCTGACCTGCCGGGTTCGGGCGTCGCAGAGGGTGGGAACAAGTCAATCAATCATGCATTCACTCACGCATGGCATGCATGCATACATACGCAATATCTGAGGACGGGCATTGCTGCGGCCCAAGTCGTGGTTGTTGCTGGTTGCTTTTGGTCGTACCAGCTCGTCCGACACTGTTTTTGTGTCCTCGGAGCAGCGAAGCACTGCTCAGGCCCTGTGGGGCAACTTGAAGATCCGAGAGCAGTCCGAGAAGGACAAGCTGAGGGAGACGGAGCCCCTCACCAAGGCCTGGGAAACCACAGCCTCGGCCATGCACGTCTGGAGGTAGCACATGTGCACAGCCCCCTCTGGGCCAGGAGCCTTCTCGAGTCTGATCGACGCCCTGCCATGGGGAGCAAAAACGGCACCGTTCAGAGACCTTGCAGGGATGCAGCGCACGCTTTCAGCAGCAGTGCAGCACCTTGCAGAGTTCGCGCAAGGCAGCCGTACACGCTGTCGCAAGCCTTTGAGCTGCCCCCGATCGAGGGTGCGACATGCAACATGACCGGCGGGCCTTGCAAAACAGTTGCCCGTCTGAGGACACAAGGACTGGTGCTGGTCCTTTCCCTTTGCTTCTGCTGAGGCCATCCAGGGGTTGGAAGCATTTGGAAGCTGTATGATTGACATTTTTTGTTCGATGGGAGTCGACGTGTGATGGAAGCTGTGGGGTATGGGGGGGGGGGGGGGGGGGCGCGGGTCGGATCAAGCTCATCAATGAAAGATCGTCGTCTTTAAACCAGCGCCGACAAAAAGGAAGACGACAATTCCAGGAGATTGTATGTTTTGCCTGTGGTTTAGGACTTGGGTTTGGTCCATGCTCTAGAGCACATGGTTCACAGAACGACCTGAAGGAAAAGCCTCAGCCCTGTTGCACTTTGCATGTTCGAAGACTGATCTGAGTCGTCGACAGACCGTCGACCCGTTAGATTCAGACCCATCGAAGTCGGGGTATTCGGAGCTCGTCCATGGCAGGGAGAAGTGATGAGCTGGGCCTTGATTTGCTAGGCTTGCTGCTTCCGTGCCGAAGCCACCTCGGTCCAGGCCAGTCGGGCGGGCATGGGCCTTCTTGCATTTGGGGCTCATCGTCGCTGAGTCGCAGGTCCAAGGCCGATGTTGGCCAGAGGCCTTGATCGGGGTCGCCTTCCTGCTCTGTTGCCTCTCGGTGGAGCAACTTGGCTCAAAGGGCAAAGGGCGAGGAACAACTCCCTTCCTGGCAGCTTTTGAGACAAGGCACGCTGCAACCGTGAAGGCCGCGCTGGAACGAGGATTTCAGGATGATTTGCATCAGCTTTGGGGGCTTATTGGAAGGGTTTTGCTTCGATTGTTGAGTTTGTACTGTAGCACTGTAGCAACTGCATACGGGAGGCACGCGAGTTGCTTTCTGACCGATGGTCAATACCTGGAAGAGGCCAGCAGAGCCGTTTAGCAGAGTCTAGCCGTCAAACCCTTTCCAGAGGCTGCACACATCAGCAGACTTGCCAACCGTGAGGACTGCTGAGTCCACCGGCGTTGCTCGAGGACCTGGCTGGAGGCTGGCTTGGCCAAAGATTGGCAGAGAGTCGAAGCGTGACACTCCAGAGCGAGGTTTCGGACCCCTCCACAGCGCCTATCATGCCAAAGATGCGCAGTGTGCCCGGGGTATATAGGAAGGGATGCCTCAGAAGAGCGAGGACAAGTTTCAGAGCCAAGGGGGGTGCTGCTTCAGCTGGTGATGGCGCTTCCGGTGGTCTTCTTCTCAGAGTGCTTCGTCAGCGAAGCAGGAGCTCCCACAGGGCAGGTTCATTCCGAGAGACGCTGCAAGGTTTGGGCACACCTTGGAGCTACCGCCAGGTTGGACGAGCAATATCAAGGAAAGAGTGGCCCACGCATGCCCACGCTTGAATGATGCACGGGCTCTCAAGCGCATCATGCAGGTTGAAATACGCCAACCAACACCCAGCCGCAGTAACCACTTTCTTATCTTACACCACTCTCCTGGGGAACCTGCACGACGAGGTGACTTTACCTGGTGGAAGTCTTTCCATTGTCTCTGGAATTCTCATGTGATGTGCCCTGCCTGCCATGGGTGACGAGCAGGGCCCTGCCCAAGCGCTGTGGGTGCAGTTTAGGACTACGTCCAAGCAGGCCCGGTGCTGTGATTTTGTTTCAGTTGCACCCTGCCGACGAAGTGCCCTGCTGAGGTTCCCGTGGACGGATTTTTAGACATAGGTCGATGGCTTCGTGCCGTGAAGGCAGCCTTCGCGCCGGGTCTTGAGAAGGTCTCTGTCGCACGCTTAGAGCTCTACAGCCTGCGCGAAAGTGGCAACCTCCCAGAGATCGTTGCCGACAGCAATCTGGAGTTGCTGACAAGCGGCAAAAAGATCTCCAAGCTGATCTCTTTGGGGCGAGGGCTCAGAGAAAACGATGCGTTCCAGCTCAAGGTAAGAAGCGAGGCGAAGGCCAAGGCTGAACCAGATGCTTGGAGTGGCGACCACCAGCTGGCTATGGCTGCCGAGAAAGCGGCAGCTGCCGCACACAGCCATGGCCACGCAGGCTACTGGTGCGAAGTGTGCAGTGCCCACTGCTCCTCGGCGACGGCCTGGAAGCAGCACTATGCTAGCAAGCATCATCAGCGCAGGCTTTGCCTCGCGGAAGGCTCGGCCGCCTCGGCCGCCTCGGAGGCCCAGGCACGGCCCGGCGGGGATTCTGCGAATCCTTGGTCTCGGGGGATGTCGGCGCTCGCACAGTTTCCTTGCCGCCGTGCCGGCACCCTGGACGTTTCTACAAAGTTCTTTGATCTGTCCGAATCCCAGAAGGAGCTTCTGAAGCTGCATCTTGCCAAGAAGCCTGCATTAGACTGTGGCATTAGCACAATGTTCGGCTGGCTCACGCACTGAATGTAGGACTTAAGCTGGAGACTATAAGAAACCGAACTTCACATGCATGCTGCTTGCGAACTCCCGGTCGTAAACGCCGTCTGTCAGGTATCTCGTCAGTAGTTTCAACGGCGAGGAGGAGCTCCTGAAGGCTTTCGATGTCTTGTTGCAAAACTCTGCCGATCACTTGCGTATAAAGGAGATTTTTGAGACCGTCGAAGTTTGGAAGAAGGTGGTCTCACACCTTCAACGCTGTAATGCCACGCGAAAAGAGCGTGGTTTGCCCGTCCTCGACCGCATCTACGATGTAGCAAGCGGACATGGGCTGCTGGCTGTTCTGCTGGCATACCGCTTCCCGCGCACGGCAGTGATTGCTCTCGACCTTGAGAAGCGAGCTGGTTTTGAGCGCTATGTAGAGGCTGTGAACAGCTACGGCTCGTGCGTGGAGGGCAACAGGACTTGTTTGGCCAATCTGTCCTTTGTAGTCGGCAAGTTCGAGGATCTGAGTGAAGGCTCCGCCAGTGGGATTGCATACGTTTGCGTGCATGGCTGCAACGAGCTGAATTTTGCAGTTCTTCAGCGGGCAAAGGAGAAACTTGCCGCCTGGCTGGTGGTACCGTGCTGCATACGGGATGGCCTCACTGACATTTGTGTTCGATGTGCTGGCACTGAACAGGGAGACGACTCCCGACATGCGATTATGTGCGGAATCATGGGTGCGCAGCACCAGGCAAGTGCAATTGTGGCTGTCGACCGTCGCATCACCAACCGCCACCTTGTTGTTGAAGGAGATGCAGCGGCATGAGGGGCTGCAGGTCACATGGGTGAGTCTCCGGGCCGGCGTTCGTCGAACTACCGCCTCGACCGGTGAGGTGCAAGGGCCTGTGCTCTCGGTCTCCACGGCGGAAAAAGGTGCGGCGTGGAGCGCGTCGCGACATGCTCGGATTGCAGGCTTGTACACAACTGCAGGCTTGCACTCGAGATACTCAAGTGGCTGGACGACGCAGAGGCCAGCGAATCATGCCGTGGCAACGTCCCCACTGACACCACAAGAGGAAGCAAACCGGAGCCAGGCTTCAGTGGCATCCTCCAGCGGCCCAGGCAGGTAAGTTTTGACTTTCAATGATCCCGACAGTTGTGTTCCTGTAAGGGCGATGGAATCAAAGTTTCGAGGCAGGGAAGAGCAGTGCTGGATGACCCATCGCATAATTTCCTTTCGGGACGTCGTGCCAGTCACTGGGCAGGAAAACTTCAGACTTCGAAAGCTGGTACGTCGGTGTAGGAATGCGCACGTTTCAGCTGCAACATTTTGAAGGGCCGCACGGTACTGATGACAGAGCAAGACACAATCACATTTCTGGCGTTCACACCCCTCGCTGCCCTCGGAGCGGCATCGGAGACTTCGTTCTTGTTGTCATCATGTCGGCAGGGACGGTGGAGGAGGGGGGGGGGGGGGGGGGGGCAGGACCTTGCTGTCAGGTACCAGCCTCCGCACATCCCTGGCGGGTGGAGCCCCAACCCGAGGAATTTCAACACTTGGGCGGGGCCGACGGGAGTTGGTTCGAGCCCAGGCCTGGATGGGAGGTGCTCATGGCGTGTCCCTCGGAAGCGCCAAGGTGGTCCGTGAAGTTGTTTGGCGCTTGGCGTCAGGTGGAGCTGCAGCCTCCTCCTCATCAGTTGCCGCTGGTGCGCCCTGCATCGCCCCTGCAGTACGAATCCCACATCTCATCACATCTCACCACTTGGCAGCGTGGTGAGAGGCCGGAATCCCCATCAGCTCGGAGGCCGGGCAAAGGGGAAACGTAAACACCCTCAGCGAGGTTGCGTCAGCCCTCCGCCTAAGCGTCCAGGACCTCACGAGCCTTGAGTCCAAGCTGTGGGTTAGGGCCCCGGACGAAGACACGGGCCACTTTTCAAGAAGCTTGGTGCTACTTGCTCTGGCTCGCACCACATCGAAGCAGGTAGGGCGGGCTTCCTGAAGCTATTTCATACTCAGTACTCATGCACAGCCTCGCAGCCTAGACTTACGGCCCCGGCTCCAGTACGACCACCTTTTTACCCTGCCATGTCTCGTGCCCGGCCGTTGGTGTGGGCGCACCGCGGTGCATCCAAGACATGTCCAGAGAACACCATGGCCGCGTTCCGCGCAGGTTGTCCTTTCAGCTGAATGAATGTTTGCAAAAAGTCTTGTCAGACACAGCCCGAATGCTTCGCATGGAGCTGCGCAGGATTGGCTGCTGGAGCAGATGGAGTCGAGCTCGATGTTCACCCCACGCTGGATGGACACGTGGTTGTTATCCATGATGCGACGCAGGACAGCGTGTATGCATCATCTCAGACAGTCAGACATGCGATGCACCCGGAAGTCCATGTATGCCACGCCCCTGGAAGCGCAGAGGACCGAACAACTGAAGGAAGGGGATTGATTTGCCATGCACCTTTGGAAGAAATCCGGCGCCTGGATGCTGGCTCCAAGCACTCCGCAGCCTTTCGGGGAGAGCAGGTGCCCCTTCTCGGCGAGGCAGCCTAAATGCCGAAGACAGTGTCTGAAGATACCCGCAAGTTTAGTTCTGTTCCTTGACGTTTACACTTTCTCCCAGTCACACCATGAGCCAGCAAAGCCCCTGCTCGGCGAGGTCCTTGACCTAGCCATGAACTGGCCCCAGGGTCGCAGGAAAGTTCTCATCGAGCTGAAGGGTGGTTTTTCCGGGGTGCCGGAGTGGGTACAGGCAACACTGCGCCGTGTGGGCATGCTGAAGAAGGAGCCGGAACCAGCCTATCCGAATTTGGCGCGGCTGGTCGCGGAGGCTTTGGCTCCATACTCGCAGCAAGTCCAGGAAGGCTTCATCATAGCACAGTCCTTCCATCAACCTTATTTGCATGAGTTGCGACACTTGCTGCCCTCTCTGCGAGTCATGTACTTGTCCCTGAGCTCGGCAACTGGAATGCTGGAGAAGGAAAACCTACAGCATGTTGGACTTGGTTTTGCGGGTGTGGCTGTGAGACATTCTTCGCTAACTGCTTCTGCGCTTGAGCGGCTTCATCTGACGCAGGGGCAGGTTTTTGCTTGGACTGTCGATGCTGTCGACGATATAGAAGCGGCAGTTGCAATTGGGGTGGATGGGATCATCACTAACTATCCCGACAGAGCTGTGGCGATCCTTGCAGGTAGTCTTCCTCCACGCAAACGTAGCTCTGCTGCAGCAGTAGATTCGGCAAGTGTAGCCCCAGCCCCAACTTCTACGCCTTCATGCCTGCATGCCTGAGGACGGCGCTTGTGCTGCGCCCGAAGACAGTAAAAGGCAATCGCAGACTGGCAAGGCTTCTGTCGCGGTTCGTTTGCGCAGTGGAATGAATGCGCTTTGGTGGCAACCGGTTGCAAGAGAAAGCTTGTTCTGTACAGCTCGCAAGGGCCAAAGAGCCAGCGATCTTTTGTGGAAGAAGGCTAGTCCCGAACGCGAAGCTACATGATAACCTGCTGTACCCGCTTCATGCTTCGCACTGCAAGCTCCGAAGCTTCAAGAATCTAAGAAGTCCAGACACGAAAGCCCCACAGAAGCCTCTAGATTCGAAGTCGGCCCCTAAGGATCCCCCTTTGAGCATCGCGTCTCTGCTGCAGCGGCATGCCTGAGCTCCCAGCAGGGTGCCTGCCTGTGGCATGTTCCTGAGAAGGACACAGGCACTGATGTCATGATACTTCGCGTAATCCAGTATAGCTAGTCCTGGAATGATGTTTCCAAATATTTGGCCCAGGTCTCGCGCGTGCAGCAGCTGGTGAGAGGGAGTTACGAACCGCTCAAAGCAGTGGCTCGACTTCCACTACATTGTCATCACTGCAAGGTTTAAACATGGCACATGAGCCAGCGCCATGTTTCCTGCAAGGTTTGGGAACTCAGCCGGGAGCTGACGCTGCTCTCCCAAAGTCGCGGCCTCGGTGTACGTCAACGCAGGAAAGCCAGTTCATGGTCCTTCACATGCAGCTAAGGAGCATGGGTCTAAGGTCCCTTAAAACTACGTAAATGTTGAAAACGACCCAGATAGTCTGACCCCAAGAACACAGAAGCTATGCCTAAACCGAAGCAAGACCAGATTCCTGCCTGAAGGCTTGGTGCTTTTTCTGACGACCTTGGACTTGCAGCGGGCCCGGTGTTTGGGACCCGGCCCTGGCCAATCCCAGAGCTCGCTGAGGCGTCGCTCGCTGAATCTTCCAGGAAAGGGACCAACAAGGGCCGAAGGGCGGATTTGTGTGATTTTGGGTTGCGTAGAGGATGTTGATGAAACACAGTTAAAGCATTTGTGGAGTTAGTTCTCCGGCCAGCATTCTGCTAACTTTCACGACAGGACCGCAGTTTCGACTCGCCGATGTGCCGGTCCATTCTGGATGCTGTTCGGGCCCCAAGCATTGTAGACAGCGGGGGTCGATCGGCTTTGTCCATTCAGACGAGGATTGCGCGTCCTTCATCCCACAGCTGCAGAACAGCTGTGCTTCGTTGGTTCGCGGTGCCAGGCGAGCGCTACCGAATCCTCAGTGGGCTTTTGGAGCGGCTGCGCCAGGAGCACTGGGATGGCTACATGCTACATGCCGCTAAACAGCTGGAGTCAGCCGGAGATTCGTGCGAACCAGGTGGTAGTGGCAAGGAGTTCATTGTAACACTGGCCCCGCTGCAACCAGAATTGGTGTGAAAGTGCTGTGGATGTGCCGATGAGGATCTTGGGAAGACGAAGCTTGTGTACGTTGAGGTAGGCGTTGCCCTGTGCTTATGAATCCTTCACATGCTCTTATGCTAGGTACATTTGGGCTTGAAGTTCACCTTGAGATTTGGCTGCTGTTCGAGGGAGTTTCCCCGAGGCTGATGGGTCGACGGCGCTCTTTCTGCTGCGTGCGGGGGCCGAGATATTAAGCCTCAAAGTTATGTCAATGCTTCGGCCAGAGCGCAAGCAAATTGCATGCTGCAGGATTTTCAGGCGGCTCAAGGTGTAGCGGAGTCCACGCTTGCAGCCAGAGGCAGCAAGGGCGGCTTCAACTGCTGTCGGGCGGAAGCTACCGACTGTGTCCTCCCCAGCCAGTGTGGTCACCAAGATCTCTTCGCCAGCGAGCGTAACACACTTGATGTGCAGACTGCAGTCTTGCAGCTGCTGCACGACCAAGGAAATAACAATGGTGCGGTCATAGCAGCCTGACAAGCAATACCTGCAGTAGTTTCGGCTGCCCTCCGACTGAGTTCGACACTGGGGACACTCGAATCGAATGCGTCCACACTGAACACAGTTGAAGAAATCGTCGTCGAAGAACGTCAACCACGTGTGGCCGCATGCCGGGCATCGAACGTTGTCCGGGTTGCGGTTCCCCTCACGAGATACGCAGCCCCGCATGCAATCGGCACCGTGCGTGCAGCGGACAAGAGTTCCCCCTTTCCCTGTGTTCATGCCGGCTCTAAAATCAAGATGAAAGTACTGTGGCATGAAAGGGTATGCGCCGAGTTCTGTCGTGAGTCCGGCGGCATCACGAGCTGCTTCAAGGCTGATCGATGGCTCACCCAGCCATCTCTTCTTGCCCCAGTTTCCTCTGCTGCAGCCCCGGGGTAAGTTCGTCATCCGCCGCAGCTCCGTTCGCAATGCATTTGCCTTTTCGTCGGCACTTTTCATGAAGAGGATGGCGAACTTTGCTCAGAGGAACAGGTTCGTGAGTGGCAGTGCTGGCACGACGTGTACAGCACGGTCAGGCCGAGGCACGCCCGAAGGGAACCATCAATTCAGGTCGTTCTTCTTAGTGGCGGCCGGCCGTTGAATGATGCCTTGCAGCTTACCAGCCTGGTTTGTTCAGCCGATTTTGACAAAGCCCTCCCGGCTCTGGGATGCTCATAGGGTCCTAGGGCCGCTCCCGCTCCCTGCGGGGTGTATAGTTCACATCCTTCGGAATTATGCCTGGCATCTCTTGTCATGGTATCCTAGCAGCTAGTTTTGCAATCAAGTGCACGCACTACTATGTCGCTTGTCGGTGCTTCCGAGCGATGATATAGGCTGTGGCCTACGATGGCAAGCATGGGTTGCCGACGAATCACTCAGAGCCAGGCTTCTCGTGGCTGTGTGCTGCGAGATCGGATGTTATTTCCCCGCCGGGATGTGTAGAGGACAAGCAAGCTCAAGGAACAAAGTTTCGCAGCAAGTGGTGGGCCTGCGGTCCTTAATTTTGCTTTGCGCGTTTGGGTCCTTTGCACCTCGGTGCTGCGCCAGTATAGGGTCTTCGTTGTCCAGCACGTGCCAATGGCTCAGAACGTACATTCAAGCAAGGAGGCCGTAAACACAGGTATATACGTGCAAATTCACACTTGCAGCCCACTGTATGTCACCTAGCCCTAAACCCTAAACCCTAAACCCTAAACCCTAAACCCTAGCCGCCTAAACACCGGCCTAGCTCCTGGCCCGGGCACACCGCTCGAGCATGTCCTTGCGAGTCGCGGCCGGGCGCCGGTCAGATGCGAGGCACTTGCAGCAAGCTGCTCGGAGTCAAAGACCGGGGGCCCAAGGTAAATTTCGCAGTGTGTGAGTCTGTGGGTTCTGTGTTTTTGCCCGCTTGGCTTAAGTAGTAGGACCCCTTTCTGTGGACTCCCAAAATCCTACAATCCTAAAAGGTCACAGGCACCTATGAATCCTCGCCTGGCTTGTCCGAGTTGTGAGAGTGTAAAAGGTCTCAGGTCCCTAGGTTTCAGGAAACGCGTAAACAGCGGGTGCAAGGCTAGGCATGAAATCCGGAGCTCCACGACCGACAATTCGGGAAGAAGCCTCACGGGATACTCGAACCGTGGCTGTGGAAACCGAATGAGAGGCAAGAAGGAAAGCGTTACAGATGACGAGGCTTATGTCATAAGAAGTTTGAGTTCATCAGCTCTCATGCTTCACTGCGGGCCGTTTGGAGGTGGGTGAGTGAATTGGTAAGAGGCACCAGCATCCCCGAGTTGACGAGGTCCTTGTTCTGGTTCCTTAGCATCGGGGCCTGCTTGTGGGAATGCATCAGCCGGGATGCTGTACAAGATCCAGAATGGCGGCGCTGTCGAGACGGAGGTGGCGAGCTGCTTTATGCAAGGCTACAGTTTGGGTACACGGCTGCCGGGCAAGAGTTCTTTGCAGGGCTCGAGGTTTTGGACCTTGCTGACTCGGCTGACGGTGCCGGGGACGATGGCAACGACGGCAGCGGCCTTTTCGACAGGTCCTGTGTTCCGGCGAAGTGTGCAGGTGTCGAGGAGATTGCGTCAACGCCTTGTGCAGCTATCAAAGGCTGGCTAATCCGAGCCTTGCTCGACGAGCATGGCAAGGCATACAAGGATACCGGGGATCTCGGAATTGATCATGTCTTCACGACTGTGCTTCGAGAGCACAGCTGGTTGGTCCATGGGGTAGAGGCCAGTGAGCCTTCTGAGCCTGCTGCGAGTACATCTGCGATTCAGACTTTTTCTATAGCACCGCGCGCTGCGCCCATGGATGAAAGTAATTCTGGATCATCTGTCAGGGTGGCCCTGCTCAGCCACCACGCCCCTCTGGCGAACGTGTTGGCTGAGCACATGGACCATTATGCGCTGAGGGCAGGACTTGAACCTTTTGATTTCGCTTACTTCTCCGTTTGTTATCTTTGTCCGGAAACCTCTGGGTGTGAGGACCGAAAGGTACCTAGCCGAGCCGATGTTCTCTGTGAATATTTCCACTCCTCAGATGTGACTTTTCAGCAGTTGTATGAGGTCGCCGACGATGTGGCCCACAGAATGGGCAATTCAGATATGCTTGTTTGCTACGGGCTGACCTTTTGCCACTTTATGTTCAATCTTTTGCCGAAGCTTCCTAGATTGCAGTTTCTCGGCATGAACCCATTGCAAAGTGCCCCGGCGAGCCTGTCCGGCATGCTGTTGCTCGATCTGGCACGGCGGGCCGATCAAGGGGATGCGATCTTCTGCACCAGCATGGTGACCTGGAACTTGCTGGCATATCACCTAGGCCCCGCGGCCTCTCAGGTCGCTTCTCTGACGCTTTTCAGGGCCACACTCACCAGTGACGCTCTGAAGGCCACTTGGGAGCTGAATCGGAAGGTGCTACTTGCATCCAGCTTCCTGATGCAAGTATCGGCGGTGTACCTTGCCATGAGGTCAGCACTATTGCAGTTATCTGGTTTCGAATTTGTCGAGCAAACCCACAACACACCTTGGAGCTTCGCGAGCCTCGAGGATGTTCAGGAGATGCTGGATCATTGTTGTGCGGTTTATTTTCCAGAACACCCCTACAAGAACTACTTCAATGACATGTACGCGATGCTGCTGCCCATTTTCACGCCGACTCTGGACTTTCTGGCCCACATGTGGCAGCAACTACACGACATGGAGGAAAGTGGAGTCTACGATGGTTGGTTCAGTCGAGCGATCCCACGTGTACGCCTGACGCTTGAAGCTGAGGATGACCCTTTTCCGCCCTTCGATCTTGGCAGCAACGGTCTGCAAAAGGTCCTCAGATGGACTGCAGCCGCCGATTATTTTCATTTCCCTGGCGTCATGACCTTTAATGGCCTTGCCGACTTGACCAGTGCCGTGTCTAGTTTGTCTGTGCAAGAGGCTAGCTTCGAGACGACACCCACACTCATAAGGGGGGCTGTTGATTAAGTCAGGCCTAAGCTAAGGCAGAAGGGGACCTTTTGCGAAAGCCTCAGATTGCATGGGACGTACTGCTTGCCGTGGCTAATCGGCTTATCGAGATGCACTATTCACTACTCTTGAGAGGTTCTCGGATTCGAGATTGGCACGGTTGTTCCCGGTTTGTTCACGGTTTGACGTGATGAACGCGAGGCAAGCTGCGATCCCAAGACTTGCAGTCCAACCTGGAAGATGCCCGCTTTAAGATGCTGCAGCATGTGCAGTCGCGCCGCGAAGAAGCCCCCGGGAAGCATTCGAGGGAGTCTCATGCGCGAGTCACCTTGGCATCCACACCTCACTCCAGCGTGCTCTTTTCATCTGTGCAGGCCAGGGTGTCTTCATTGCTGTTGCAGGTTAAAGCTGGGGCAAGGGCACGTGGTGGGGGCAGTATGGGACAGTGAGGCAAGTGGGGCAGCCCCGTAAATCCTTCCAATTCTCGGTGTTTTGTCAAATACGTCGTCGATGTTTCGTCATCGCCGTCTAGGACATGGGAAATAGGACGTTGCTGCATCTTGTCTACTTTGGAACCTGCTACCATGAAGGCAGTGCGCGGGTCGAGTTCGCTGGGGGTACCAGATGTACATTCGAGTCTGTGAGAGCGTATGAACTACTAGTCATACGAAAGTCATTCCTTCTGCTCGAAGCTCAGGCACTGCGCAAATGTGGGCAGGTGCTGGATCATGTGTCTGCAAGAGCGGAGAAAAGACAGAACAGTGCGCTTGCGTCCTGACTCTGGGATTGGAGCAGTCGACTGGAAGATTGCACAATAGTTTAACCCTGTAAGTGTAGCGTATATAGTCAGCTCATCGCACGACGGTTCGTCAAATCATGATTCGAGCACTGGCCCCGATTCAAGCGCTTGCCATTCGATCACGCGCGATTCGAGTACGCGCAATTCAAGCACTACCGATTCAAGCACGCCGCCGCTTGGAGCACCGCCGGTTCAAGCACCACACGTACTAAACCTGATTCCAGAACGCAGCTCAAGCACCAACGTGTCCACCAACCCCGTTTCCACCAACGGTCGCAGCGGTCTCTAGCTTAGGGTTGTGCAGGCATTACATGGGTTTTAGGTACTAGATTTCGACACTTCAAACGTGCACTTGATGCTGAGGATCCCACGATAGCCCACTGCTCCTTCATTAATGGTTTAATTCGTGATGTACTGAAAGTTTCAGTCGAAGGCATGTGTTTTAGCAAGGGCTGTTGGGCCCCCCGGGATTTCGACGCATAGGCAGCAACTAGCCGCTTTGTAGAATGCCGTGTAGGTGTTGAGTTTGAGTCCGGTGAGTGGCTTTATATTATTGCATGCGTGCAAGGCGACACCATAAAACAATGCCGATGTTGCCGAGCCTTAAGCCAGCCTCTACAAGGCTTGCAAACGAAATGCAATGCTTTGGAAGAGAGTTTTGCGATCAGACTGGTTGACTGGTTTCAAAGGTTCCACAGCCTTGCGCATGAGCCAACACGGTCCAGGACAGCGGCCAGAAAGCCCGAACTATGTACAAGCCACAACCTCGACTTGTTACAGGCCTGCATGCCTCACATTCCGATCCGTGCAACAAAGTCGGTATAGGGTCACGGCTTCACAAGAAAATGTGGCCGCAGACCCAGAGCAAAGCCCGGCAAAAAATGCCTTGTGCAGCAAGAAGTCTAATGCAATCATGGAGACGGTGCTTTCTCCGGGCCCCCCACCCTCTAATAAAGGGTAACAAGACGAAAACGGAATCGTAAGCGAGGAGCACTCCGCCACGAATCGGCGGTGCACGCGAATCTTCGTGCACAGATCGCTTCGGCGCATGAGTCCGATGCTGGCATGCGCCATGATCTTGTTGCACGAATGGTGCATGCTCGGATCCTGCACTGGGAAAGATGGGAAAAGCTTCTGTTTCCAGTGCACGAACAGTTCCCTACCCGCAAGCTTCATATGGGATTCGGCGTGAGGCCTTCCGTGGCTGCAAGCCTACCTCGTGGAGAACCAGCCGAAGGAGAGACCAAATCGAAGCAAAGAGCATCTTCTGCAAACTGAGTTGTCAGATTTTGCTTCATTGGCAAAATGGCGACTTAAGACGAACTCCATGCGAATTTCTTGGGAAAGTTGCGGAGGTTGCTGTGGGTGTCCCGAATCCCCGAACCCAACCCTCTAGATGGGATTGCTTTTGCTCAGCTGTTTCGCTCCTTTTTTTAACTGCTGTCGCACTGCAGCGGCTCGAGCTGTGCAGCTAACAGTCAATTCGGTGTTGTGTTTTGCCTTTCACCGCTCTCACCATCATGGCTTCTCAAGGTGCCCTGGCTGGAATAAGACTAGAAGGAGTAATTGGTCCGGGCAATCGTTGAGAAAACACAGTTCGATCCAGGTGCAACTCTTCAGAACTACAACAACGAGCTGGTAAAGTCCATCGAGGAGAACTGCCTCTAGTCGTAAGTGGGGGTGATCTGAATGACACGGGTCATGGCAGCGATGTTGGAACGATGGGTGGCCGGAGCTTGATCTAGGTGGAAGGTATTCTTCTCCTGTCCAGGACTTGCGAGAGAAGCGCGAGGAGCTCAATCGCCAAATCCTGAAGGAGGAGGAGGCTCGGTGATGCTCGGCCACTCAAGGTCTTTCCGCCGCAGACTCTGCGTTGGTGCTTCACCCGCTCAAATTGATGTCGTGCAGGACAAGGCCAAGATCCAAAAGGACATTTGGTTGCTTCTTTTCTCGTAAGTGGCGAAGATGTGGATGCTGTAGTGACTGCTGGGCGAGCTGGTGGGCGCGTTCAGGGCGCAGGGATTGAGACAGCAAGAGCCTGCCACTGCAAAGCAGGTCGACTGTCCGACGGCATACGGCATACGGTCTTTGCCATTTACGGAGAGTTTAAAGCCGATTGGGATTCCGGTCCAGGAGCTCTCCATCCTCACGGACCGCCTGCAGAAGATCAATGAGAGTTTGGTACGCAAGACCCAGGCCAGAAATGAGTATGACAAGACCATTCAGGACAGGCACCGCCCACGAACATTTTACTCGTGAAGCATAGGCAGAATGGGCATGAGGCATGGCCTCTGCTTTGCATGTAATTCTGCCTCCAGTGTTGAGAGCATTAAGTCGTATTAAGTCGGTTAGTGACGTTCTTTTTGATTGACTGTGCTCAAGTAGATGCAGAAGATAGTATGCCACAAGGAGACGGAAGCAGCATACATGAAGATCCTGGAGTCCTCGCAGACGCTGCTGCACGTTGTGGCCCCAGCCAAAGTCTGCTATACATATCGTGCATGAAGGGCGGACATGCCCGTCAATGCCCGAGACCCACATTGAAGCAGGAATTGCAGTCAAAATGAGCTGTCAAGCGCAATTCCTCCAAATCATTCCGGGCTCCGCAGTGGATTTGTCGATGTTGGTCCCTCGAACTTGAGCCAAACTTCTTGGTGTTGCTTGCTTCAGGTGCTCAAACGCGAAACCGTGACCAGGCCGCAAAATGGTGAAACGTGCCTCTAGCATAAGTACATCGGATGGCATGTGGCCCGAAGCAGCACGATTGATTCGACATGGTTGGGGCCAAGGTGAACCTCACGAAGAAGAAGTCGGGTTCGGACTGAGCACCGTGCCTCTCTCTGCAGTTTCTGGTTGCTCCGGGTATCTGCATCTGCTGGCGAAAGATTTTATTGTGGCGCCCGATCTAACCGTGGTACTTCCTGCTTCAAAGGGAAACCCAGGAGAGTCGAGGAAGCCCAACTTGTACGTGCGGCTCGATCTTTTTCTCGACAAGCTGAGGCATCAACGACGGCTTGAAAGGGCAGCTGGTCAGCTAGTTTCATCCTTGTGGGATGACACTGAAGAACGTTGATCAAGGATGCTTCTCAAGACTGCCAAGATGACAGACGGTAACATGTTCATGGAGGGTTCTGAGAGTAGGCAGTGGAGCAGAGCCTACGTGATTCATCTTGGCATGTCTCCTTTTCATCTGAAGTCAGCACCTTGGTCATGCTGTTGGCCAAAGTTGAAGCGGCGCGTGTGGGTTTGGCCCATGGCTCCAGTCTAGTTCCAGTGTTCCGTCCCCATGCGTTCTGCTTCCCTTGGCAGCAGCTTTCACTTGTTGTTTGGTACCATAGTGCATGAAACTCATGCACGTTGTCACTGTGCCAATGCAATTCCAGCGAGGGCGGAAAATACCTTTGCACTTCTGAACAGTCTGAGGAAGCGAGGTTTTGGATGTGCCGATTCGCATCATGTAAGTTTGCGTGGATGTGCCCGGATGTCCGTGCGACGCAGGAGAGGCTGCTGAGTGCTTTGCGTCCAGTACAAGACCGGGTGGGCGTGTAGATGCTGTATTGCATGCTTGAAAGGTTGGCTTCAGACTTGCATCAAGCAAGGCCCACCTGCTCCCCATGGACAGTGTTGAGGCGGCCGCGAAGGCTGGACAGATTGGCAAGAAGCATGAACGACGGGCCTGTGCGCATTACTCCCACAGCAAAATCACCTCTGTGCGAGCCTTTTGCTTCGGTTCACTTTCAATTCTTACTGATTTTGGCATGTTTTGTCTTATGCAGTTCCGGGAAGCGGGCCTGGTAGCTGATGCAGTGCCGGAAGCCCAGAACAACTGCGTCGGGACAGCAAAGAGTGAGTTGAGTACGATGCTTCGACACTGCCCCTTGGATAAGCTGTTGCCGTTAGCTGAAGGGTAGAGCAAGCCAGCAACTATGAATATCCTGTGGTACACGTTTAGGGCTTAGGGGCTTAGGGACACGTTTAGAAGCGCAGGCCTTCATCCTGCCATCTTTGGCCAGGTTCCTGGATGGAGATCACAGTGCAACCGGAATTCGCCAAGTCCTCGGTCTCTATTTCGCATTTGTTCCTTGCATGTTGAGCTTCTTAACATCGCTTCGAACTTCGCACTGCAAACAAACGGTTTTGTGCAGAAGATGTTGGCCCATTTGTCTTGGTGATGAATGCATGGAGAAGGACGGGACTTGGCTGCCTGGGTCCCCCTTCTTGGAGACGGCGGCCTCCTCGCGGGCCACGACTTCTCCTGGGACTGGCGGGTGGGAGTGTTTCTTCAAGTTGGCGCTGGGGGATGTTGAACGGTCTGTGGTGGCTCTGTTCGAGGGAGACGTGTCATTTGTTTCTGACTTGGAAGCGGCAGGAGCATCCGGGAATCCTGGAAACAATCTTCCTCGAGCGAGCAGGCTCCGAGTTGTACCTCGCGCCTGACCATGCGGCGGGCTCAGGTGCAAGCAGTCGTGATCAGTCGTGGATTCGATTAGAAGACGAAGACATTGCTGACTCGCGGTCATAGTAAAAGCTCATCATGCTTCAACAGCCGGCCAGTTGTCATGGGATGTCGGTGGTACAACAAGGCTTCGGAACTCACGTCCCCTTGCTGGCCGAGGTCTTCTATTGGTTCCAGAGATCCAACCAAAGCGATGTGCACACTCGGAAAAGACGGCTTGCTGTTCTGGAAGTGCAGCCGCTGTCTCAAAGAGTGCAGTCAGTGCAGTCTGCGTGATACCAGGTTGCATGTGCAAGGCAGGATTCAGACACAGTGCCGCAAGCTACTGGACTTGACTTGATTCTTTTGGCCAAAGCAGGGACGTTTACCAATCACTTCACCATCGTTCCACTTGCACAGCTTGTGCCGATAAATGTCACAAGAAATCATCATGAGGCAGCCAGCCGTGAATTTAGCGGTGTATCCGGGTCACATACAGACCCCGGTGCTTGAGGCGAAAATGCAGGGGCTCCTCAAAGTCAGGGCCACACACCATGCACCTTGGTTTCCGCGTCAGAGATCATAGCGATCGACGGAGCAGGCAGGAGAGATTTTGGTCTGTTGATCAGCCCCAGCCTGTTCCCAGCAATTTGCACAGGCAGGTGGATGCCTGGAAGTCGGAGACGCCGTGGCCCGCCTCCCAAGTTGGAAAAGGGGCAATTGCTTGCACAAGAACAGGCTTGTTGTCAGTAAACCCCATTGCTGATTTTCATGTCCTTGAATTGAAAGGACCCAAAGGACCGGTGCCGAACAAAGAGCCTGCGCCTTTGAGAGGATTTCGTAGCTGCTCGTTTGGCAGTGACTGGCTGAGTCAGTAGCCTCCAAACTGCCGCCTTTTCGTAGCTATACATGACGTCTTCTGATATTAAGTCCTAGTCTCATGCGAAACATGTGCTTGCAGAGGTCGGCCTTGTCGACTGCAGCGGATGGTGAGTCTGAGCCGGAGGTCTCAGCGGTGACTGCGACTGCCCCTTGCAACCTCACTTCGTAGGCTGTTCAAATTCAGGTGCATGGTGAGATGTTTGATGCACATGTTCTGTAGGCGAACCTTGTTTGAGAAGTCTGTGGTGCAAGCTGTTCAAGAAGAAACCATAGGTACATCCTTCGATTGGTTAGCCGCACTGCCAGAAGCCATCCGTTGAAGGGGCTTAAAGCTTGGGCATGCGCAGATGTTCAGGGTTTTGCTCATAACACTAGCTCCGACACCGCAGCTCCAAGTTAATCCTTCTGTAGCTCGGGACGTGCGACCTTGTCGGTGACCTTTGCGAAGGCACATTCGCGGTCCGTTGGTTCCTGGCCCAGTTCGGGAAAATATCGGCAAGACGGCAACACCAGGCTAAGTTTTCTAGCATGTCTCGGCAAGGAAGATAAATCAAGAGATGTGGCTCAGGCACCATCAGTGGCAGCTGACATCTCAGAAGTGCCTGTCGAGCCGTGATGTCAAGCATCTAAGGTGAGCATGCGTCTATTGTGGCATGGCATCCCATTGCAGTTGCATGCTAGACTTCTTGTATTGGCATTTGTATTGAGGTGGCAGCCTTCCGGGGAGCCGTAGCTATGGACGTCAAGGCCAGCAATGGAGGGGCCCTTTGAAAGACCCGCGGAGGCCGTGTACGGATTTTCTACAGCTAAGACTCTCGAAAGGAGGTTCTGTGAGGCCACGAGATTTCACGAGCCTCACACGCATCCTGCAGACCGGCGGAGCGCCGCTGCTCATCGAGGTGTCCTCTCACCTGGAATCAATCACCAAGGCCCTTTGGCCCTTGGCCCAAACTCCACACGGAGCATTTCAGGATGACCCGACATAGGTTCTCTTCTCCCAAGACTCACTCGAGAAGACCAACTTGGCCGAGGCGAGGAGCTGAAGAGCCTTGCAAGGAGGTCCTCAGTTCTTTTTTCGGCCGGAGGCCCTTTGGCCCATCCTGGAAGGCTCAGGGTGGGAGGCGCTCTGCGGTCCTTGCCGCCTTGTGGTGAATCGGAATGTCTCCATTTCAGGAGGAGCGGATTGAGAGGTTCTGCAGCACCTGCTGGGAGGCGCGTCTCGCTTGTGAGTGCAGATCGCATTACCCGAGCCGGCTTCGTACGATCCTTCGTAGGCCGCTCGCAAAGCCGGCCTGCGCCGGGTGGTGACCTCGGCTTTGCTGGCTTTGGAGGTGGAGGAACGAGCCCTTGGCCACTCCGTGTTTGCCAAATCAGGTGGGCTCAAGATCACCCAAAAGTAGCAACAGTTCGCTGTATCTTTAAGATAGAAAGTGCTGAGCACCCGCCGCTTTCCGAACTTTCCGGGCATACCCAGAAGTAGTGTGTCGCCGGCAAGGCACACCCTAGCAGGCACACCCTGCAATCTTCAGGCTAGGACCCGCATGCCATACAAATGCGGCTGCGGTTGGACCAGTCGCGGAGGGCTGGAAGACCTTGATGGACATTTGCGCGGAAGGCGGGAAGCTCTTTGGACCTTGTGAGTCGAGCAGATTAGACATGCTTCGCTGTTTCTGTTTCTTTTTCGTAGGGCAGTGGAGGGGAAGTTGACCCGAGACTAGCCTCTTTTAAATTGAGCCTTCCATGCCATTCCTGACTCGGGTTCTCGCTTTCATCCTGCAGCATGCCCAGGGACTTTCAGGATGCAGGAGCACGCTCGAAGAGAGAACTGCAGCGAATGCCACGCGCAGGCACAATGTCGATGCGTCGCACCCGAGATCACACAAATGGCTTCCGGCGGCAGACTCTACGCATGGGCAGAAGTACGAGCGGCGCTGCGTCACGTGTACCTGGCCAGCTTTATGTCGGCGGTGTGTAGAGCTCAAAATTCAGACCTTGACATGAACCGTTCTTGCCTGAATTAGGCGACAAGTACTTCACTGGCAACGGAGCACTGCTGGAGCATCTTCGTCCCTCGGATTCACACTTGTGAGGTGTTTCGTGCAACCTAACGAACTCAACGGCATCAGGCCGAAAGGCCTTTGGCTCAGGCCCTGCTCCGTTTTGGCTTTGTATCGACCAAGGCGAGGTTCACCAAGTCGACCTTGTGATCCTTAAGAAGTGATTGGGCCAGCTTTTTATAGTAGCAGAGCTTTGAACATGGCATGTCTCGGGAAGGCTGCATCTCTGCAGCCTTTCTAGGCATGCTTGGAGTTGCCTGTTTGAGATGTCATAGGCAGTCCGCGATGCACAAACTTGTGGCTATGCAGCATGTGAAAATGAAAGCATCTGAAGAAGCTGTTTTGATCACTTGAATGCATGAGGGTCTGCAGCGCGAGCAGCAAGTTGCCCCGAGTGGCTGCATTTTCATCGCTATGCCACCGATAACACGATAATCAGTACTGTTATTGTTGGTCTGAATCATCATCACAGCTCCCATTACTCTATGATGATTGCTGATGCCATTGCCTTATGTTGTCACCATGACTCCAATCACTGTTACTAGTGGCTGCTGCCCCCCCCTCCGCTTTGGTACGATCATCGCGTTGCATCCTTCGCTCCGATCAGTGTCAAGGGCCTCGCAGTGGCGAGGGTTTGTTGGGAGGGCATCAGTCGGATCCCTTGTGAAAAAGGGAATCCACGTGGGATTCAGAAGATCACTCATCGTCTTTTTGTAGAGCCCCAGCATCCCAGGCCACCCAAGACAGGCCGGAGCCGACCTCGAGGCGAGGCAAAGGGTGGCCGTTTCGATATCTGCTCCTGGGACACGGCCAGGAATCCTCATCAAGTCTTGCAGCGGGCGCTTTCTATCCTGGCGGAGACACATGCGCAGGAGTTGGTTCAAGAGGAGGCCGCATGCAGGGCATTGGGCCTTCGTCGGGAGGGATTTGCAAGGGTTTAAAGTTATCCGGCGCAAGATTTCGGGGCTGCAGGGGCAGGTTCCGACGCGGGTCCAGGTCTTGCGACAGGATTTCCGCGCTGCAGGAAGGGTTTTTGGGGCTGCGTGGGAGAGTCTTGAGCTTCCAGGGCTGGTATTGTGTTCGCTTTCCCTGCAATCGTTTTTTGGTGTCTTGAGTGCAAGTGTAAGTGTTTGCAGGCGATTTGTTTCTCGCTTCCCAGCTATCTAGGAGCGAGGGGGGCAGGACAGAACATGCCGCAACATGCCCCATGAAGGAGGAGCAGCTGTCGCGGTCGGCTCGACGTGCGGCGAAGGCTGGTCGCGCCTTTGAGCCGGAGGCACCAGGGAGATGTGGTGAAAGGAATGTTTAGGACGCACGCCAGCCCTTCAAACTTCGGAGGCAGGCAATTTTACCAGCATGAACAAGCGTGTCGAAGGTTGTGGCGGAGGATGCCGATGATGCTGCGTCGCAGTACGCGTCTTTTGGGCATGCAGTTGGATGCTGCAGCCATGACTGCCATAGCACGGAGTTCCAAGGCTTGATTGTGCAGTAGTTTTGATGCTCCCGGTTCTTGCTGAGTGCTCGCCGCCCGCCGTCTTTTTGCAGCTTTCAGAAAAAGGATATGCTTTTCAGCATCAAGATGCTCGTCGTGACCGAGAATTGGCGATTCGACCCAACCCCTGCAGCTACATACCAGCTTGATTGACTTATCACTGCAACGAAGACATGAAGACCCATCAGAGATATCAGCAACATAGCATAGCCCTGTTCTGGCCGTCATGGCGTCGTTTCCGGAACTGGTTGCAAAGACCGTCGAGGAGTTCGGATTCCGGATTGGTATCAGCTTCTTGATGCGAAGGGAGTTTGTCGGTTTAGATTCAGTTTCATCACAGGCCCTGCAGCTTGCATCGGCACGGACGTTTGTTACTCAGAAGCTGTCATGTCATCATGTCATCGGCCGCAAGGTATCGGAGCGCAGGCGGCTCTTGAACAAAATGTGTCGCAGCTTTCAGTCGCCAATGTTTGGATGCATGCGAGAAGCTGGAAGCACCTCTGAGCATAGCTGGAAAGCCATCCCAACTTTCTGACAATGCAGGTGGTGATCTTTGTGGTATGCCTTCTGGTTGCCAAAGGCTGCTTCCCAAAAGCCAAGGACAGGAGCTTCCTTGTGCAAGATTTAGAGGCCCTGAGATCGCAAACGAAATGCAATCCTCATCGCACGAGTTGAACGCGTGCATCCTTCTCTTCAGAAGAAGCATGCACAATCTGGAGAGGACCCTGTTGGCTTGGCGGACACTCTATATTCAATACCGTTCTTCAGCTTCCTTGCCTTTTGTGCTATTGTTCGTGCCTCAGCTGTCTCCGGTTTCAGAGGCAGCCAGGGGAAACCGACAGACTGTTTGGAAATGTGCATTTTGAGAGCCAGTAGCGCCGGAATTCGGGAAGTCGTCAATCCGCAGAGGCATTCGCCCTAAGCCTTTGGGAACCCACGGTACGCAAGAGTGAGATCGCAGTCGCACACGATTTCTGCCTTAGCATGCCACTGTATGCAGTACCCTTTGAATCATGTGCCTTGTGGTTTAGCGCTGAGGCTGGAACCTTGACGTTATACCACGACCCGGACTCCAGATGGCAGGCTTCTATCTGCTCCGCCTCGCGGTTTTTTCTCGTGCTCCTTGCTTCCAGCTCAGCTTTAAACTGTGTTTTTCTGCCCTGGCAGGGCGTCAACCACTGGTCCGAGCTCTACCTAGTACTCTATGTCTCCAGGTCGTGTCTGCCTCAACTGCAGAATGTTGCGAACCCCCACGCCTGGGGCTGCGTGTTTCTTGTCAAAGCCACGGGTAATCTGTTCCTGCACAACTGAGCCTTGCATCAGTACTTCAGGCTCGTTCACATATTCATGCAGCCGTTCGAGCAGATCAGTCGCCCGCGGCCCGTTTTTTTGAGTTCGGCGTAAAGCTGCTGGTGCATGCAGAAGGGGAGGCAGTTTTGGCAGACACGCGTGCTGTCCCAGGTGAGCTCCTGATCATGATGACCTTGCATCACATCTTCAGCAACCTGACAGCAAGGGCAAGCGACTTTTGCATGTTCCCGGAGGCTGCGCGGTGGATGTGGTGGGGTGTGCATGTTGCAGTCAGCGAATTCTTTGCACTTGGTGATTTGGTGCCCTTCACGTGCCGACACGTTGCATATGCCCAAGCATACTTGCACAACGCAGCCATCTCGGACCGCTCGCAGTCCCACTCGCCTCGCGCTGACCATGATTAGACTGTGGGCCTGTTTCTTGTCACTTGCCCCAAAGTGTTGATCCGAGTGCAGCATGTATCGCGTCTCTGCGGGGCTCCGCTTGCTTTCTCAGACTTCAGCCCCCAAGTTTTTACAGGTACAGCTGAAGTGAAGTAGGTGAGGTGCCGAAGTGCAGTGTTCAGTTGGAGTGAATCTCAGCCCACGTTTCCCCCATGCCCCAGTGGTTGTCCTATCATGTGCTCCGAAGCCCCAATCAAGCTCAGGCTTTTCAGCGCAGTGGCGGAGGGCTCGGTCTCCTTCCTGACTTTGGGAGGCCAGCTGACTGAAAGGAACAGTCGATACTTTTTCTCGACGGGGTCTCGCATCTGAGAGAGGCTGTGAGCATGCTTTGTGTCCCCATGTCAAGTCATCCCTTGCGATTTACATCTTGGAGGCAAGCACCCTAACATGGCCAAGCAGGGCATTAGATGGGGGCATTTGCCTTTTGGGCTTTTTGTGTAGGGGAAGAGAAACAGCAAACTACATCGGTCTCACAAGGGCTCTTGCTGATGTGCCGTCGAACCCGTCTGTGCCTCTTGCCATATCTTGCCCATGCTCGTGAGCACTCCCAAGAACAGGCACCCGAGCACCCAAACCCCTGCCCTGTGCCGAAAGCCGAGACTGGGGTGGATATGCTCTCGGGAGCTTTCACCAGACCACGGTGACGGCAGTGGCACAGCAGATGGCAAAAACTGCGACGCAGGCTGGCGCATCTTTCGTAGTCAACCCCTCAGCTCTCCTCCGATGCTGAGTCCGTGTGTGTGAGGGAGAGGGAGAGGCAATACTTATGTGAACAGCTGACGAGACACATGAGCCCAGCGACCAATCCAGAGCCGCTCAGCTCATGAGGTTAATACCGGCGACAACTTCTACTACTGTGGCATTACTGGGACTGCTGATCATCAAGTTGCTGAAGATTTCACGAATGTGTACAGCAACAAGTCTTTAAAGGCAGGGCTTGCGTAGCGTTCGCAGTTCAGAGTGGCAGGTTGGTTCCCGCACAGAACAGCTCGAGAAGCCCCCGCCCCCTACTTCCTGTCATGTCCTGCTTAGCGCCGTGTCATCAGTCAAAAAGCTTCTGAAAGGTTCCATGGTACTCAGTGTTGGGCAACCATGAGTACGGCCCGGATCCCAATAACGTACAGAGGCTAGAGAAGTGGCCGACCTTTGCACGTACGTGGCCGCACATGCTGACGAGGCTATAACGTGGAGGCCCAGTGTCAGTTGTCCAGCATCTCGCCTGCAAGAGGTGTTGGTGCTCACACTTGCACTGCCCGTGTCAGACCACCTTGGAGTCAAGGCAGTAGACATAGTTCAGTGCCCAGAATTAGGTGTGCTCAGCAATTGGGTCATGGACAGCCGGTACTTCTCCAAGCGGGTTGCATTGGGCAGCGGCCACTTCATCTCTTTCATCTTCCTTGACACGTCCCCCTGCGTGGCAGCCTACCGGGCTGACGACCAGCATCTGTCCTGAAAGTGGCTTTTGTTGTTGTGGCAAACCCTGACACTAAGCAGAATGTCGAGAGAGAGAGGTAGCCCCTGTGGCACGAAGGAAGGAAGGAAGGAAGGAAGGAAGGAAGGAAGGAAGGAAGGAAGGAATCCGCAGCGCGCACACACACACACACACATCGGCTGCTGCTAAGGGTCCACGCATGGCATTCGAGGAAACAGCACTGAGCTTGAGCTGAGGTCCCACTGGGATCCATGCAGCAGCGAATTCCCGACCTGCGAGCCCATCGTGGAGGGGCCCTGCAGATTCCACGAGAACATCCTGCGGCCCTGCCTGACTGAGTCGTGGTTTGACGGAGGACTGCTTCTTGAACTCTAGACCAAGGTCCCAAAATTGCACCACTCAGTTCGAGTGGTTCAAGGCCGAGCTGGCAAAGGCCTGGCGGCGCAGTGGCGTAAGACCGAACATTGCACCCCCCCTTTTTGAATGTGCCAGGTGCCAGCGAGTGACTGGCTTATTGTGGTTGGACACCACCCGGCTGATGAAATGGATGTAGAGGATTTTGTGTCGCCGATGAGCCATGGTTGAAGCAGGAGGTGTTTTTTATTTACTTCTTTTATCATTGCCCTACATGATCTCAGCAGCAAGCTGCCATTTGAATTTGCTGTGGCTGTCGCAGGGTGCAGCATGGCTTCGACCTCTATTTGAATGGTCACACTCACCTACTGTCTCTCGGCTCACCCTGAGCTAGCAAATTCAACGCTGCATCGCGACCATCTACGTGGAATCGTGATATGTAGTGGTGGTGTCACCCTCTGAGGAACCACTACACCATCAACGGAGGTGGCGCTTACGTCACAAGCGGTGCTGGTGCGATGGTTCGTACGAAGGACTGAAGGTTCGAGATAGCTGTCGAGCCGCAGTTTTGGCTAAGCTCTCAGACCCCTCTGAAGCCTAGAATTAATGCCTGTCTGGTCGATCGGAGCTCCTGTCGCGGAGGACGACGCTTGTCGCGGGTCTGTATGTTCCACTGAGTTTCCCAGAGCTGCCTAAATACAGATGACAAAGCAACCCGTGCTCAGTTGGCGGGTGGCACGCCATGACCGGCAAAGCTGGATTGACCTGTGCCCTCGGCACAACAAGCCGCGGTCGGGAGATCTCAAACACGTGCCCTCAGGAATTGCGGTTGCAAGGCCAAGGGCCAAGTCACTTGAATTTTCTCCGACATTGGCAGGATCAAGATGACGAGGAGTCCCACCTGGTCGCCGGAAAGGGCTCGAAAAAGGCAGGTGCCCGATTATGAAGAGGTGTGGGGTGCGTGTAGCCAGTCCCGGACATTTGCGAGGTTCAACTTGTGTGGGAGGAGAAGGTCGCAGGCTTCACGTTGCACACCTTCTCGTCCGACTTCAAGGTGCGGCTGGGCACAACTAGCAGTGGCAGATTCAACTTATGTATGCAGGGGCGGGGAGAGTTTTGAAGTGCCACCAAAGCATCGCCAAAGGACTTGAAGACCGACTACATTTCTTATACCGGGGACGTCCTGCATTCCTTCAACGTGACGCGTGGATCCGGGCCGGGGTGTCAAGCGAGATGAAACTGCAAAGGGAGCTATCACGGCATGGTTTAGATGCGATGTTCATGGTGCCCGCTGGCCTTCGGACCGTCGGAAGGCCGTCGCCATCGCCGCCATCGCCACCTTCACCACCGTCGCAAGGCCGTAGAACCCATAGCTTTCGGAACTATCAGCAGGCAGCCATGCCCAGACTGGGCACCGGACCAGTCCTGATGCAGGCTCCTGTTCGAAGTATGGCTGCGGAAGGCTTCGGGAGACCAACGGCCCTGAAATGCACTGAGCTTACCAGTGGGCCGCCTGACGAGGTACGATCCCAGCCACACTTGCCAGTGCAACTCCTTTTGCAAGGAGTCACCACTTCATGCATGCACAGGATAGGAAATCTCCTGCGACAAACTGACCTGCGGACCAGGAGCACGCAGATTGCTGCTCTGATTACTCGAAATCTTGTGCTGGGCCATCCAGAGGCTCATGCAAGGAGTTCGGCTGCGGCAGGCTGGAAGCTAGCATAGAAGGGGTGAGTGCGAGCCCAATGCCGAACGCCGTTTCATCATCTTCGCGCTCGCTTTGCATTGAATAGGTTCAACCCCAAGCAGAGCTGCCAGTGCAACTCTTACTGCAAGGAGCGAAAACCCTACCCGGCCCAGTCCTGTCGATAGTTCAAGACTATGTGCTTCATCGTCATCGTCGCTAGATCGGCCACCTCTCGATTCGATGTGCAGCATGTTCTGATGCGGGGAGGAGCACAAAGACTGTTGCTCAGACTATGACACCACTTGCGGGGGCATTGAGACGGTCGTCTGAGCTGGGAAGTGTAACGAAGGCGGAGTCGGGGACACGTTAGGGGTGTGATGGGCCTATGCCCACAGCCTGGGAAATCCTGCCGCTGAAGCCGCATACCCGGCTTCGCAAACTTTAGCCTTTTCCCAGACTGCTCTAACCCCTAGTCGTGATGGTGCATTTGCGCAGGCTGTTTACTTTAGCGTCTTGAAACTCTCTTAGGCAGAGTGGCATTGCAGCATGCAAGCTGCAAATAGTGCTGACTCTGAACAAGATGTCGGCGGGCTGCGCTTGAATGGATGCTGCGCGACATGTTGTTTGCCGCACCCTTTTCTCTAGAAGCATGAGCAGCTTTGCATCCAATCATGCGTTGTGCTGGCGACTTTTGGTCGCTTGCCAAAAGCTCTTCCCGAACCCAGGCGTCCACACAATTAGTGTGCCTGTGATATGCCGCATCAAATGCAGTTCGCGACCGTAGCGCGGACAAGTTTACAGCCCGGCATCGAGACTTCCAAAGCTCGCTGAAGAGAGGCATCAAACGCGTGGAGTCGCTTGTTGCTCCAGGCATGGGCGCCTATATCATCGGCCTTGGATGCGGGCGCTGTGCTTTGCTTAGAGTAATTAAGCCACAAGTGGCGTGAAGCCAGACAGTCAGTATGCAAAGCTTGCTCATTGCCTCTGCTTGTAGTAGAGCTTCACTGCCACCGGTCGCTGTTGTAGAGAGCAGAGTCATCCCAGCCCTTTGAAGGTCATTTCTGGGGCTGTTTGGATGGATGCTGTGAGCTCACGACCATCTTCCTGTGTTTTGTCTGCAAAATCTGCCTTGTGACCATGACAAGTTGAGCTGCAGCAAGGTGGCAGTGGGTGAGGGGCACTTATTGTCTCGTTCGTTTGTGCACTGTCAGGAACAACCTGTACCTCCTCAACGATGTGGAAATAGATGGGCGGAGGCTTAAGGACTCGGGTGGAGAAAGTGCTCGCAGGGCAGTCTGTCAAACCCATGCAGTAGCCTTATGGTCGTAACGACGATGTAGCAGCTAGCAACCGTTAGAAAGCTTGCTTGCCGGACTCGGACTACCTCAAGTTTGGTGCCTAAAGGCATAGACCAGCATCCCAAGTGATTCGCGCGCAGGAATTCTTTCCACGATGGGTTGTTGCTGCCAACGGGGTCATCCTTTGGGTGGGCTTCATTGCCTTCAGGCGCATGCTTTGATAGCAACGGCCGAGACCTTGAAACCCACGTAAGATCACACAAGTCGTGACTTGGTCGACCTACATTGACGTAGATAGAGTGCACGGCGAGTTTGGCAGCATTGCTGTGTATAGTCGGCAGCCAGGCAACTTCAGATATGATAAATTAAGCTTTCCCACTGACCAACTGCAGGCTCGCCCTGTTCCCGACGTGGTTCGCAGCTCAGCACATCATCCTGGAAGGAGCACAGGGGAGCACAGACACTCGGCAGACTCGGCAAGCGGATGCTTGGCAGACGTTGACCTGGGCCAAGCGACACTCCTCGAAGCTGGTGCTTCACTGGGCGCAGCGGCACAGTGGCGAGTTTTCCGTGACTCGCTGCTAAGGTTGTACATGTTCTACAAGGATATGAAAGAAGCTCCGTCCAAGAGCTCGGCCGTCATTACAGATTTAGAAAGCATCGCGGCCGCCATCAGAAGAAGCTTGTTCTGGGCCGTTCGAGAAATGACAAAGCGCTGTGCTGCACTGGAGAGAAATGTCCTACTACTCTACGCAAAGGAGTAGCCTGCGTTCTTTGTGCTCGTGTCCCGTGTTGTGTTTGCCGACCTTTTTGTTTTTTCCCGCCTCTTCCGCATTCACGAACTGATCCGAGGGTATCTTTACCCCGGTGTCAATCTGGTCTTGCTGCTGCTGTCGATCGCTTGGCCGGAACCTTGGTAATTACCACGGCCGCATAGATTCAGTATGAACCACGGAATGTGCATCCGCACGGCTACCAGAAAATGGCAGATGCAGCACAGCTGACTCGCTGTGCCGAGGTTTGTGCCCCTCACCCGCGGAATGGTGAAATCTGTCAAGGCCATGTGCAGGGCCTTGTGCTCAGCTGAAGCAGCTGACAGTGGAAAGCTTTCGGTTCAACCAGTCTCTCTTGAGGGTGTCTTATTTTGTTTATTTATATGTAATTATGCACAACAAGCGAACAAGCAAAGATACACACACACACACAAAGTCACCAAAGCGTCCGTCGCAAAGCTCGAAGGACCCAAGCCTGTCCTGCAGCGTCACTGAAGCCCGGTGAAGCTCTTCTTTGAAGTTTGCAGCTCAGTGCCAGGCGGTGGGCAAGGTGGAAGCCGCTTGGCTGAAGTAAGCAGCTACTGGCGATACCGAAGTGTAACTAACTTACCTATCTGTCAGTTGTTCTTGTATCCGTAAGAATCGAACCTGATCGGAATCAGCAGTTCGCTTGTTACATGCACTGCTTCTTTCGAAGGCAAAGGCTGCCAAGCAGAACTAGCTGTCAAGCTCCTTGGTGTGCATGCTCGAGTTCTGGAAGTCTACTCTTTGTGCATCGGGCTCAGGGGGCCACCTGCAGCCGCTAGAGCTGTGTTAACCTCGTGCTTCAGACTTGGCGAGTATCTAGAAGTGCGTTTTCACGTCAGGGCATTAAGCGGCGAGGACCATCTTTCGCGAACTTCACGAGGGACGACGTCGGCTGATTGATCACTGACAGGGCTGTGCATCATAGTTTCACCTATGCAGTTTACACAGACTCGTGCTGACAAGGATGTTGCTGATTGACGCTTTTCCAGGCCTAGTCTAGCAACCGCAGGATGTTCAAGATCGGGGTAGATGATGATAGATGCAAAGGTGTTGTGCAAGTCGGCGATCACGAATCGGAACTTCACAGAAACAGGTCGTCCTGGGGCCCTTCTTGTTTTCCTTCTCCGTCCCACAACACTCTTATTCTTATTGGTTCGCCCACTTTCGGGATAGTGTCAGGGTCACGTAAACTCAACTCACAGATCCCTACCCGTTATCCTGATCCGACGATGTACTGTAACTTATCGGGGAAGTAAGGTAAAACACGAGCCTACATTCCGCCTTGACGACACATGTGTGATCATACGACCCGTTCCGCAACTGTGAAAACCTTTGCACCCCTGGAGCTTTTGCTGACGAAGAACGCTGCATTAGGACGGTCTGCCATGGTGATGTTGCTCCAGAAGCGTCAAACAGTTGTCCGGCTTGGGCAGACCAACGTAATATGCCATTTCGTGCCACGCGATGTCCAAACCGACCGAGCAATCCTTGTGACTGATTCTACCTGGCACTATGTCAGTGGCCGTTTGTGCCTCAACGCCCGAGCTGGCGGCGAGAAGCGCGTCAGCTTGAACCAAAGGCTGCTGCTTCTGTTTTGAAGGCTTGCAGTGTTCATGCATAGGACGTGTTTTATGAACAAGGGTTAGTGGAAGCTTTTCAGGCTGTGCACAGATTCGCCTGGTTGAGGAGAACGTGCAATACAGCAAGCATGGTTCGAAGCTTGCGTTTTGAAGATCTCAGCTCCCTCAGGCTGTCTTCCTGTCAGACTTTTCCATCCCCACTGGGTTTCAAGCCTTCGTCTGGCTACGTACCTGAAGGCTACTTTCAACGCTTGCTTGAGCAGCCGGTGCAGTGCTGCTTTTAATCGCATTCGCCACCTGGAAAAGGCTCACACCTCGGAACCATGTCCGTATGGCCTCGTCTAGTGGTAGAAAGCTGGCCTCGCATACCCTGCTCATCGCGATGTCTCCAAGCGTGTGCATGCAGAAAGCGACTGGATCTGTGCCAGGCCGTCTTCTGTCAGCAGTGACGACTTGAGGGCTGCGGCCTCTGGCAGCCTCTACCAAGCAATGACATTGTCGGTCATTGCCACCCATTCAGCGCGTTGAATGTTACAGGTGCATGATCGGAGCAACCCCTTCAGTGCCCTCCAGGATTTCAAGGTGCGAAGTGCGAAGGTCAGCTTTGCACCCATTGCTTCACTGCTTCGTAGCCTGAAGGAGGGAGAGGAGGAGGCCGCCTGCCTTCTTTCAACGGAACTTCTTAGGCCGTATGGAAAATCTTGGGCATTCTGGCTGCAGTGCGTGTATCTTACAACGGATCTGCCGAATTGGAGTGGTGAGCGCAGGCTCCGAGCACAGGCTGGGACTGATCTGCAGGATTTCGCATGTCCACGTCAGCTTCAGGATTCGGGGAAATTCAGGGGTTGAATTGGCATACCGTTTGTGGCAATGTGTAAGTGCACGTGAGTGAGTGTGTGTGTGTGTGTGTGTGTGTGTGTTCGTCTGTGTGTGTCTGTGTGGAAGCGAACAGCAGCTGTCGAGGCAGTCTGCCCGCAAAGCCTCGCTTGAAAGACCGTTGCAAGTGGACAGCTGCTCGTCTTGAAGTGCTTGGATGAATCGGTATGGCATGGTGTGTGACCAGGAAAATACACCGATCCGAAAAACAGGGAATTGCGCTAGTTGGAGACCTAGAAGGATCCCAAACACGTAAGTGCACAGAATTCATGCTTGAAGTTTGACTGTTTTCATGTCCCCCGCTCCGCGAGTTGCCACTTGGCAATGCTCGCAATACCCTGCGCGCTTGTAGCTTACAACATACAAGTCCGACCAGGCAAGGCGGCACCGAAACGAAAGATCGAAATGCCAGCATGCAACATGCAGCTGTGAATGCCCAAAACTACCGCAAATTCGTGACTTCTGGAGTTGGACATTCAACCGCGTGCGACAAAAACACGAGAAAGATGGTTGGAATCGCCTGGCGAAGATGTGCCCTACAGGTAAACCTTAGAAAAAGATCCGCCCCAAAGCTCTCGCACTTCGGAACTTGCTGTCGTGGCTTTAGCTGCATGGGCGGACAGAGGTCAAAAGCTACAAAAACGGCACAGAGACTACGTGGGACGTGCTTGAGTCGCCACTTGCTTGCACTACGGGGGTCATGTTCGCAGCGGGCTCGTTGGAAGGAGTATTGCCGACCAGTATCTAAACATGAAGGCGGCGAAGACGGAAGTGAGCTGCAATTGGTGCTCGACGGCCCCACTCGCAGACTCTCACCAAGGGATGGACATCTCCGCAGCATGCGCATCGTTGGCAAGGAGACCGCCGTGCAGTGCAGAGCAGTGCACCTATGCGAGAACATGCAAAAGAGCTTGACCATTCTCGTCTCATGTCCGGTACGCGAGTCCTTCTGTCAATCACCCCCCCCCCACAGCTCGTTGAGAATGGAACGAAAAGCAATGTCAAGTTTCTGATGGAGCATCGGGCTTAGCACACCCCGAGCGTTGGGCATGCCTTTGTATGGACTGGGGAAACAGAACAGAATCACACTCCCTCTGTCAATTTCAGTGATTGCGTCTCTCCGCATGCGTATCGGTTTGTGTCGCTTGGTATGTCTCTCTATCTTCTTGTTGTGCTCCTTTCCGTTTCTCTTTGTGCCTCCCCGTCATGCCTGGACGCTACTTATGTTATGGCTCTGGAGTTGCGACACGACTGTGTTGATTGTCATGCATCGCAAACACAGGCTTTCAAGCAAGGGCCCAAGTGCAGCTAGGATTAGCCACTTCAGGAGCCCGTGCTGCCGGCTCAGGCGAGAAGACGGGTCCACTGGTGCAGTTTGAAGCGGTGCAGCTGCACTCGTGTTTTGGTTGCTGCTCAGAGCGCTAGTCTCAACTCAACGGGTCTGACTGTGCTCAAAGATGTCGGTGAGGATCACAAGTTGTAGGTGCAATGGGCGTATGTGGTGGAAAGTCAGCCAAGCGACAGCAAAGCCGAGAGCTCCGCTTTCACGACGGGTTCCAGTACAGCCCCCTTGAATCTAATGATTTTGGGCCGCTTTCCGCCGACAAGGACACACTGGACATTGTCCAGTTTGCGGCCCCGATCTTTGTCGCGGAGGAAGGTGAAGGATTCAGTGTCAAGCTAATGCGATTGGGTTCGCTTGCTGGCACCGTGAGCTGCTTCTTCCAGACGGAATCAGGCTCCGGCAAAGCAGGGAAACGCTTTGTCCACACAGAGGGGGAGGTCGTGTTCGCCGACGGCCAATTCGAGCAGAGCATTGACATTGAGATTCTGGATTCGCCAACGTGGTCAGCAACCCTGGAGTTCAAGATGGTACTGAGCAATCCCAATGGGTGTGCATTGGGGAAGTACCTGAAGGTTTGCCGCATTAAGGTCCTGGACGGAAACCCGTTTCCCAACGAGGACTATGCGGAGCCTTTGAAAGCAGGCCCTGAGGCGATGGAGGACATCAACCCACTACCTCTGTTCGTCGACTTTTGCAGGCTGATGCTGAAAATACCTGGGAACTCGACGCGATTTGCGGTGACCTTGCTCTGTGACCAGCTCAAGAATGCCTATGTCTGGTTTCAGCTCAAGGCTTCGGTCTACATGGTAAATGTGATCTTTGGTGGAGCAGATGCGGCAGACCAACTATTCATCCGGGGGGATGCCGTGACGACTGCCAAGTTGCTCGGGTTGTTGTACATCGGACTCCCACTACTCCTGCACCTCTACAAAGAAGCCAAGACTCGAATGGACATAGCTGGTCGTTGTGGCTACTACTTGCAGACTAGCTTGATGCGGAAATACATGAACTTCAGCGACGACTCCAGAGCAGCGGTCTCTCTAAACGAAGTCCAGAAGATCGTGACCTCTAAAGCGTTGGATGTTTCGAACAGCCTGGACAACGTGTCGTCCATGCTTGAGACGCTGGGGAGGCTGATCATCTTGAACTACTTCGCACTTTCTAGTGATCCTGGCATGCTGTGGGCTGTGATCACAATGCCTGTGGTCATGACTCTTTGGGTGCTCCTGCGCCAGAGGTGGTTGCAAAAGCCTGAGGAAGACGGCCCCTACAAGAGGGCAGTCATGGAACTGGTGGGTTCCATCAGCGAGTCTTAGTAGCAGAGCAAGCAACCTTGATTCTTGTTATTGGGGCACTATAGTCCCAGATTTCTGTATCACCCCAAAGATTAATCCCTAAGTAAGGAATGCTACCAATTTTTCCTTAGCTCCCCAAAGAAACTGGACAAGAAAGGAATACTACCCGCTCATCGCCGCCTACTTTCAAAGACCTGCCATGAACGAGAAGTTCGCCGCGCGTGTGACCAAGCTAGCCGACGCGCCTCAGAGCAGCATCTGTCTATCTAATCTATCTAGCTATCTCTCTATCTATGTATCTATGTATGCACCTTTGTCTATGTGCTTTTGTGTTAGTGCTTTGTGGCATGTAGAATGAAATGCAATACAGTTTAACACGCTTGAGTACAAAAAGCACGACATGATGGAATAGAAAAGATTAAAACAAAATATACCAGAATTTCGTGCAATACAAAGGACTTAGAATAGAATAGACTGTGATAGAATGTACAATGTAAAAAAACAATGGAATATACCAGACAGAACAAGATGATACAGTACAGTGTCCTAGAATAGAATGCAGTAGAATGTTCAGTAGTATATAGTAGAATATCACAGGCTATGCTGTACTATAGCTAATACAGTATGATACAATGCGCTACAATGGCATAACATCTGCGGTAACATAGCACAACATATCTATATATATATATATTAATTATATGAGCCCTAGTACGATCTAGTTTGTTTTAGCCTTAAGCTGACCTTATCTAACATAGTATAATATATATATATATATACATGTGCCATGTGGGAGCCAAAAATATATACATGTATAAAGTAGTAGAACTCAACTCCATGTAATGTGATACAGCATACTACAGAATATTCAGGTTGATATACTGTGTTATGATGTATAAATAAAACATATATATAGAGATATGCCAATATAACACGATTACACGTTCTATATACATAATGCATAAGCATAGTACCACATCATTTGTTATACTATAATTGTAAAATGCAGTATCGTATAGTATTATATACATATAGATTTATAGCAAGATACAATATACTATATAGGAAAAATACAGAAGAGGACGCTGTGGGAACCTATCGTTGGACAGGTTCCCACACGTTCTCTTCCAGAAACCTGGTTTGCTTCAAGTTTCGCACATGTTCTCTTTCAAAAACCTGATTTGATTCGCGCCTCCAACATTGCCTTGAATCAAACCAGGTTGAACCGGGCAGGAGTCCTGGAATCCAAGATTGCCCAGAAGCCTTTTGGGGGCATCTTGGATCTTGCATTTCGCGGCCCTGCCCGATTGATGTTCAATCAGCCGATTGAAATACGATAGGCCGCGACCCGGAATCCAATATCCAAGATGCCCTCGGAAAGTTTTTTTGGGCAATCTTGGATTCCAGGGCCCAGCCCGACTGAAGTTCAATTCAACCGATTGAAGTACACGTTCATGGGGGCCTCGGACAAGGAACATACGCTTCAACGCTATTGGGCTGCGGTTTCAGGACTTGAAGGCTTGAGCACAACCATCTTTCCGTCCTAAATTTAATCAGTACGGCTGCAGTTGAAGTTACACGTTGTTTGCAG